CAGAATACCAGGGTGGCGACGATGGAGGGAGGAGCCACGGAGGAACCAAGGTGGATCAGACAGAGGGAGAAGACAGGAAGAGAGAAGGCGGATCAGATGGAGGAGCCAGGGAGAAGACAGGAGGAAGCTGGAGCAGGAGGAGCCAGGCGGGACCCACACCGCAGCCAGGAATGTGGCACACAGTGGAGGCGGTGGAGCCATGGTGGAGGAAGGGCTGATGACTCCAGGGGGCCAACTGACAGCGACGGAGCAGGTGGGATAAGAGCTCAGGGTGGAGATGGAGAGCCTCAGAGCCAGGGCGACAGGGAGGATCTGGAGGGCCAAGGTGGAGCAGATGGCTCAGGTGACCAAGGCGTATGCGGGATCCGGAAGGCCGCAGTGGAGCCGGAGTGACAGAGGACCAAGGTGGAGCTGGAGGGAGGGAGGAGCCCAACAGAGACAGAGGGACAAGGAGAAGCCAGAGGAGTGTAGTCCCGAGGAACAGTGGGTGGGGCTTTTCTCCACACCATGCACTCCACTGTGTCATCTTCCACGGCTGGCTTCGTTGTCTGCTCACGCACCTGGTCAGACTTTGGAGCTCTGGCTCTGGGTCAGGAGTGGGGCTGGTGAGTTCCTCATCAGCGTAGCAGGCAGACAGTGGTGAGTTGTTACTCACCAGCACCCACTCCACGTAGGCGAAATCTTCGCGAGGACCATCTCCAGACAACTGCACTCTTCACGCGGTAGAACGAACAGAAGCAGTCGTCTGAGTAGTGGGTGAAGTTGAAGATTTCCACAAACGGTTTTGTATGGTCCTCGAGAGTATGATTCCCCTGTTCCAGCAAGAGGAGGAGGAGGAATTTGGTACGGTCCATAACAGAAAAGAAAATAAACTTCCAAAAACAGAAAAAACAATTGCAGGGACACACACCACTTAACTTTGGTAGGCTGGGTCTTCTATCACACTACGGTGTCAAAGAACACACAAAGACAAAGATGAAGGTAAACAATCTTTAATAAATTCAAAGATAGGTAATTCAAGGTCAAGGGAACAAAACTAAACAGGAGCACAGGAAACCAAAGAAACACAACAAAAAGTTCATAATGGTGACAGTAAGTAGACAACTCTACCTCTGGAAGTGATTGAAAGTGGACAAGCTCAAAACATTTTTACCTGATTTTAGTCAAAAATGCATTTGACCGGATTGCTTTTGTAGTGTAAACAC